ACTCTCAGTGATCCTCCTGCCTCAGCCTCCCGAGTGCTGGGATTACAGGTGTTCGCCACCACGCCCAGCTTCTGAGCTTCTGTTTGCTCCTCGATCTAACACAAAGGACTGGGTTAGTCTCTAATAAGATACACGAGTTTGATGGATTCTTGGCCACTTGTTAATGGTGTGATTGTAAGCCAACTGCCTACCGAAGTGTTGCCACCTGCTAGGTCCAATACAGGGCTATCTTCCAGTAATTATGCAGATGCCAGAGGCAGCTGTTGGAATTGGAAACGCCCTCCACGTGGAGGGCAGTCGATAGGCTCAGAAGTTCTGCCAGCATTCCGGGAGCAGCAGGAGTCCCACGTGGGCATCTGCTGGGTCTCAGTGATCTCAAAGATCACCCCTTTCTTTGTAACTGACAGATCCTGAGCCTGGGACTACAGATCTGGATCGGGAACCGGACCTCGAAGTGCCAAACCTGGGAAGTGACACACACCCGCCAGCTCCCGGCCCCAGTGCCCACACAGAAAACACACAGAGCTTTCTTTCAGCATTTATTTATTTGGTTTTTTGTTTGTTTGTTTTGTTTCTTTTTTGGGTACCAGGGATTGAACTCGGGTCCTTGCACTTGTGAGCCAGGCGGTGGAACCACTAAAGTAAATCCCCGGCCCTATTTATTTGTTATTATATATTCCCTTCTTTCCCTTCTGAACACCAGGCAGGTCATGCTAGGAGCTGGCAGGAGTGATGGGAGAGTCAGGGCCACTCAGAGGTTAGAGATGGGGGTCAGTCCAGGATGCTGACTGTGTGGGTCTGGGGCTCTGGTGTCAGGCAGCTTGGGAATTCAAAGCTAAGCTCTCCCATGGGCAGGCTGGTGCCTTAGAGTGTGTGACTGGGTGTCGTCCCAGTGCCACCGTCATTGCAGGGATGAGCCCCACCCAGGGTGCCCAGCACTTTCACACATTCCATCTCCGTGACAGGCTGTTGTAATGCCAGTAGCAGGAAACCGGCAGTGCTTATCTGCGCCCAATTATATAGAGCAGCTCATCCATCTTCCCAGCCTGTGAAACAGGCTTTCCTTTTCTTACCTCCCTTTTGCGGCTCACAGAAGGGAATGGCTTGCTCGAGGCCACATGGTTAATCAGTGATTGCCCCAGCTGGGACCCATCTTGGGTCTGTCAAGTCCCTTCCTTCACTTGCCTACTTTGGCCTCTCATGAGGAAGCACTCTCTGATTACCCAGAAGGCCCCAGCAAGAATGTCACATCCAGCTGGAGGTCACAGGCTGAGCATTTTCTGTGCCTTGATCCCAGATGCTGCCATCACCTTAGCAGCCCATGCCCACTGCCCCCAAAACGGCTGTGACCTTGGCAGATCCTTCTCTGCCTGCTTTGGAAGCCTGCTTGTTTTGTAACTCTTT